AATCCGTTTTTTAGGGGTAACCCTTTTTTTTTAATGTTAGGGCTCCAAACATGAACCCAGGATTTACATTGAACGTAAACGTATGCTTTCAAAGGTTATACGTTATAACGCAAAACGCATTAAAAGATTAGACTCTACCCACGTGTGTTATCGAAAATTAGACAAGTTGCAAGGGCGGCCGGTCTAGTCAATTTTGATTGGATACGATACTCCAAGAAAGTCAGGTTTATGGCTTCCGAAGTTCCGCTCACACATGAAGAGCAAAGCCGAGACTTCGAAAATTAAAAATAGGGGATAAAAAAATTTACCTTTGACGTTTGCTGATGACTGATGAGCGGCTCTCAGTTTCTCAGACTCTCAGTCTCAGCCGGCCTCCCGGCTCCCGCACATCACAGTTCACAACCAGTCAACAATACAGTTTATATTTAGTTGTTTTTTTAACCACTCTTAGAGTCTTGAGTCTTGTGAAAGAGAGACTGAGAGTTGACTTGACTCTGGTTGTTGCACCTTGACAAATGACAACACAAGTCATTAGTCTCAACAACACAGGAAGAAGTATTGTAAGTACAATTTTACATAAATATGTTCCTATTTTTTTCAAAGAGCAAACAAGGTATGTTGAAGACTGATATACAAGTTACAACTATAATATCATATACATATCTTAGCCTTTCACTGAAATATTGGAGGATTGTATTTATATAATTAAACTATATATATATATCGCCAAAGCCCTGCACCGTCAGAGATATTTTCATTGTTCTGTCATATAGTAAAATGAAGCGTACCTGTAGCAGCACGCACAAAACCCATGAGATTGTACAATATTTAAAAACGAAGTTTCCGTTAGCGTACGAGCTCTTCTGGAGTATTTTGCTTAAGCTCGGCGGCAGCATAGTGTTGGTTATAAATTATCTTTTAGACACAGCCGGGGCGTGGTTTATAGAGAACTATCATCTCAAAGGTCAATGGCCTCATATTGGCGGGGATCACTCCCAGGACTTCGTATCGCCTCCAGCCAAAGACGTTGACGTGAGAATGCTCGAGGCTCAATACGGCCCAGATGCAAATGAGACGGTTGACGTACTCAGACATCAAAGCGGTGAAAGCGATGAGATATTAGTATATCTCCATGGTGGGGGCTGGCTGGCTGCTAACTCTGCGGTATTGCTACACAGTGTGGTGCCCTTTGTTCGCAATGGATATACCGTATACAGCGCCAACTACCCCCTTGCACCTAAACACCGCTTCCCAGGACCATTGGTGTCCATACTAAGGCTCTTACACTGGTTGCGCACGGAAAGGAAGATTAAATCGGTCCAAATGCTTGGCGACTCAGCTGGCGGGAATCTGGTTACCATAGCAGCGGCCTTGATTGAGAATCCACAGTTATACTGTGAGTTCACAGAGAGTGTGTTGCCATTGGGTATCGATATGCGTGACTGGAATTTCCCTACAATCAAGGCTGTAGCAAGCGCATATGGTATTATGTGTCAGGGCGAGGGTTGGAGCAATCAATTAGATACTATCGGTCCCATAGAGAATTCTATCGGCCACTTTATATACGCATTTGGCATGCGAATGTACAGGAGTAGAGACAACATATTCGACAATCGCTTTACATTAATTGACCTGTATATGCGATCGCCCAAGTCATTCTGTAAAATGCCGCCCACATTCTTATTCTGCGGGGATAAGGATCATCTGTCGCTTAGCAACCAGTTGGCCTTTGAATCGCTGCGAGACATGGGAGCAGATGTCCGGTATACTGTGTACCCAGGAAGACATGCGTTTTTTGGTCTTCCTCCGAGTTGGATTGGCAAAGATGCAGTCAGAGAGTCTTCTTTGCCTGCACTTATTGCATGTCTCGATTTTTTTAAGTCAGCTCAGAAAGTGAACGATTTACGGAACACAGTTAATTTGGAGAGAATACCTTTACCCTATTAAAATATTCTAATATAAATATATATATATATATATATATATATATGTATATACTAGCGGTACTCGCAAAGAAACAAGATGGTAATACGTAGAGTACAACATGGCACGCTGTTGAAAGACTTTCTCGAAAATAATAGACAATCCGCATTCTATATTAATATCCAGAATACTATACTCTGGATCGAAGGCATCTCTTTAAAATTGCACCGAACTCTTAGAATAAGTATATATATTTATATTTATATTTAAATATATGTGTATATATGTATATATCTATATGTTTGTGTGTGTGTGTGTGTGTGTATATATAAATATATGTGTATGTGTGTGTATGCATGTATGTAAGGATGGATGCATGCATGTATGTAATATGTATACATGTATATGTATGTATGCATGTATGTAAGGATGGATGCATGCATGTATGTAATATGTATACATGTATATATATATGTGTGTGTCTGTGTCTGTGTGTGTGTGTGTGTGGTGGTGTATCGTATTTGTGTGTGTGTGTGGGTGTATCGTATTTTGTGTGTGTGTGTGGGTGTATCGTATT